GTCTTAAGATTGAGTGTCCAACATTTTTTTTGAATATAATCACAATTTCCGACTCGTCTGCTATCGCTCTGTGTCTTCCAAATTGATCGCCCTGCGAATATTAGGTGCAGCCCCGCTGCATTTCGCATGGACGAGCGATGGCGTGTGGCAGCGCATGCACTCTCGATCACGTATGTCCTCGGGTATATCTTTTGCGCTTTCTGACGTGCGCGTCCCGTTGGGAAGTAGGAAAATAAATAAATGACGAGCGATTCCCGCGGGTGGCTGCTATCCCGGACGAGGCAAGGAGCAATTTCAGTGTAGATAGCGCGAGAATTATGGCCCCTCGCGAGGCGACGGAGGTTTAAGCCCTCCCCGGGTGTTCCTAGCCTTACAACTCCGTAATTTTTACCCTCCGAGAAGTTAAGAGTAATTTACTGGCTCCACGTAGGCGTTATTCGAGAACGTCCTCCTTGGGAACGAAAGCGCCGCCACTGAGAGCGTTTCGGTAGCTTCGCTCTCTTGTTAATTGTCTACCCTTGATGAACTTGATTTTCAGCGGGGACAGGACGTTGCGGTAAGATAAATGTCGGCAATATCGCAACAAAGATAGCTATTCGTCCTCGGTTCTTAATGAGGGGACATGTTTAATTGCGGATAGTAGTCGGAGAACTTTTCAAGAATTAATATAATACCTAAGTAAAGTTTGACAACGACGGTAAATGATATGGTAACGTCTAATAAGTAGGTGAAGTTTAATTGATGTGATGTAACGTGCATGATATATAATGTGACGTTAAGTAGTTATTTCCTTGAAACAGTCAGCTCGTACAAGAGACACGTGTCTTACGATCTAAGAAAGTTAGCTAAGACTTCTTCATGTGATTTTCAGTGAGATTCTTAAATCTGTTGTAAAATATTATTTTTCTATCTTATAACGGAGCAAAATTTTGAAATTCGTGGAACAAACGTTATGCACATTCTCGCATTTTACATCAAACTTTGCACCATCCATTCTTGATTTTGTTTATTATAATACATAAAGGTTCAAGAATAATGATGCAATGTATTACCGTTTCTGAGTTTATTGTTAAATCTGCTTTGACGTACGCGAGCAAGAGAAGATAACACGAGACTTTAAACTGCATATTCTTGAAGTTGCTCTTTATGGAGCTTCGCGAAAGCTTGGGTAAGATAACATGAAAGAAAGAAGAGACAACTCGCATTTACTATACAAGCTTAAACAACTCAAGAATATAAATAATAACGTGAACTATGATAATTATTTGGCAAATTTAAGAAAACATTAATAACAAATGTGTTGTTTATCTCAATAGTAAGCGATTAATCGTTAGAAATTTTTGCGAACTTTAAATATAAATTTCATTAAATTCATCTTTTGTGATATTATAAGAAATCCGTTTTATTTTTTAATACAACATGCCATGTTAACAGGGTTATAATAGTTTATGAACAAAACTATAGATGTCCGATAAAAATGATAACAAGGTTGAGCAGATTATTTCGAGATAAAAATTCCTATATAATTTTTCATAAATATTTAGATATTAGAGCTATTTGTGTCATTCTATTCTTCATTAGAAAAACGAAGATAGAATGACAAATAGCATCTCTCCTTGAAAACATACCTGAAAGTAGTAAGATTATTTTTATTTTTGTAAGATTATTTAATTTTATATTTCTGTAAATGTGTGTGTGTGTGTGTGTGTGTATTTTCTATGCATAAGTATTAGGTTTTTTATGTGTATGTATATTATTAGATGACCAATTTTTAAATACTTATAACTTAAAAATTATTAAAATCTCGATATTTTAACATTAAAAAATTTTTATCTCAAAATAATCATAGGAATTGGTTATTAAGGATTGTTATATATAGGACGCCTTTTATATCTGCGAAACGACTTGATAATTATAAGAACTTCAACTTTAATTTTTAGTTATAACATGACATTCTTATACTGTTAAAAATATATTAAATTTCATGAGTGACAAGCGCAAAGAATATGTTTCTATTATAAAATGTATAATTTTTACACTTATTATCCGTGTACTTTTATACTCTTTTTTTCATGTAGATAGATTATTAAGTTAATCTGCTGGCTTAAAAGCAGCAGATATTATTTCTCAATTTTCTAAAAAGCAATATAATAAATTAAGAAAGTTATCCTACCCGGTTTTCTCAGAGCGAAAGAAAAATCTTTATATGGTAGACTTTTGCTGCACAAAGATTTGGTCTTACGCATTATATCTTCTTGCAATATTAATTTAGTAAGAAGGAAAAAAGAAGGGGAGAGGAAAAAGTGCTGTCGACGCTGTTAATTCGATTGAAAGAGTTTCGGATCACAGGCCTCAGGGATCCATTATGTATTAGCAGGATCGATTCGGTAAGATTAAGGACAGAGACGATCGTAAGAAGCCGCCGACTCAGCCACGGAAATCCCGAACATAATTTTCTCCATACGAGTTTCAAATCTCCCGAGATAATGCGATGCTGCGTCGGTGCACGAATATACGGCTTGTAGGAACACAACTTACGAGGAACTTTACAAATGTTTCTCTCTGTGTGCCGTTCTCTTATGTCAAAGATTACCTAGAAAATCGAGGATTTTAATAGAAGAGAATGAAATTTAGGTACATCAAAAACTATATGTTAATACGTACCTATTATCGTTAAAAAAGAAAAAAAGGAAAGACATTTTTTTTGTATTTGCATTTATATCGTTTATTATTTTAGTATTAAATAGTTTTTAAATTATAAATTGCATGTACTGATATCAATGTAAATCAATTTTAATCTCGGTTTAACTCACTTTGTATCTTCTTCTAGTTTTAAGAAAGAGAAAAAGATAAATTAAATCGAGATTAAAGTTAATCTGTACTGAAATGGGCCTAATACCCGTTTCTATCAATGTAGATTAATTTTAATCTCGGTTTAACTTATTTTTCATCTTCTCCTAATTTTTAGAACTAGAAAAAGTGAAGAGTTAGTTGAATCGAGATTAAAATTAAAACTATATTGATAGAAACAAATATAAATTGAGTAACAAACGTTTAACGTTTAACTTTATTCAATTTAAATAGCCGATTGCGTTGTGAAGAAGTGCATTTTTATTCTATCGACGTTAAGCGTATATTGCTTTTACGGCCATTCAGTCATCACAATCAGTTACGCATTGTCATAGCCGTCATTTGTATTCGTCAAGTGAAACGAAGAGATCGGATAAGAAATATTGGAGAGGTCTATGAAATATTCAGTGAAACGTAGGACGATGAACGGATAAATGCCTGGCGGTTGTTCCGTGAAAATCTAACTGCGATTGTCGAGATTAATCGAATCTCTCGTAAACGGCGTAATTATCATTAATGATGGGCCAACTGATTGTGAGACTTGAGAGGCCCCGTCGCGCGGAATGACCCGAGCGATCATCTCACTTCTTTTAACACTCGTAGCTTCTTCAATCTGCCGGCAACGTCTAAAAAGCTGAAATTGTGGCCAAGTGGTAGTAGTGGCGTAGGAAACGCGCTTCCACCGCGCGTTTCCACGAGACAAAGCCGGATTGTTCTCCGCTGCGCGCGGAGGAAGAGGTGAAACGATCCTAGGCTTCCTGCAAACTGAAACCCACTGCCTCCTCTTCCTCCTCCTTTTCGTCCTGCTACCTTTACCGCGAGGTTCGTAGCGAAAGCTCGTTATATTTAAGCCGAGAAATATATATACGTGTATGCGCCAGTTAACGCGGCTGTTACACGTGACTTGGTTGGCGCATTCGCTACACTGCGTGTGTTAGTATTGCGAATTAAATTATTTTCATCGTAATATATATACTATACATATATATGTATTAAAATATATATATATGTATATATTTATTACACACACATATGTATATGTGTCGACGAGGCATAATGCGGTCAGTTCTCGCCACCGACATGGCGCAATTTAGCGAGGAATCTCTTCAAATGTAATGTGTGATATCGTGCGCTGCGGTCTGACATATGTAATTTAAAAGAAAACTCATTTCTTAATATGAAACGTTGCCAAATGATAGTGACATGTCAAATAAAAAAAAATTTTTATTGCAGTTTTTTTTAGTTGATCGAACTTTCAGTTCGTAGAATGCTTTGAAAAGAGCAAGATTCACGAACTTGTGTAATTTCTATGTTAATTAATTTAATTTCATTTTATATCACAATTAATCAGATTTATTAAACGTAAATGCACAAACAATTATAGTGGTTAAAAACTAATTAATAAATTGAAAAGAGAAATTGACTTCTTAAGATTTAACAGTTAATATTCTCATTCGCGTTTTATAGCCGCATTTTTATAACTAACAAGTAATGCACGCGATAGATTTCTGTATACAAAAACAGATATAAACCTTGTGGAATAACAGAGAACGGCCGGAAGTAAAAGTAATAGAGAATAGACTGGGTCTCAAATGTCGCAGTTCAAACCACAGGCAAAAACCATTTGAAAGAAAATAGCTGTAAAGTCGGTCACGTTTGACTAAAAGAATTTTTCATGTTGATTTCTTTGTAAAAATAATTCGTCTGTATCCGCTGCTTCGTTCCTTTCACTTATTAGAACTTACCTGAAACTTCCAGATTCATCTTATTTGATTAGAGAGACCCAATTCGTGTTCTTCTCGCAAACAATCTGCGAAGAAATCCTTCAAAGTTTTATAATTTTTTTACTCGCCAAAAAAAAATCTTTCCTTCATTGGACAAATCTTATGACATAGTTCTGGTCGTTCTCAAACAAACGACCTGTTGAAAATGGCGAATTTAGCATCCGGTTTAACGGAATAAATAATGAATCTCTAATTTCGAAATTACATAACGCAAATAAATAGTATTGAATTTTTAAACTGGAAAGATATTAGTCTAAAGCTTAAAGTGGGAAGTTAAAGAAAACAATGGAGAAAGTAGATCATGATAAGGGAAGTGTCATAAATGCACACACACTACGATTATTGTAAATATCATTTATTGGACTCTTAGGCATCATTGGGTACAACGATTACACCACGTTGCTTACTTGTAACACCTTAGCGATCTGAAAAGAAAACTCGGGTTCGTCGAAGTCGACTAAATTAACGTGAAGACATCAGGTATGTTTATTTCGTATCTATAGATAGTACCGACTGCGGTCACACGCGCGGATAAGACGTACCGGCGACAAGGATTAGCATTAGTCGTCGGTAAGCCGAGTACAAATTCTATTTTTACAAAAATTAGGAACCACCGAATTTACAAAAAAAGTTACCTTAAGGTAACAAAAGAAGCGGAATATCGATTGGAACGGAGTCGCTATGCCGCGCTACGTTCCGTTTCCAATCAGATAGATCAAAGTATCGCAGAAACAACAATGTCCGTGTTTCTCACAATAGCTACAGCTAAATTCAATTTAGGACGTTCATAGGACACAGTGTATTTTATTGTAAGGTTCTCGTTGAAAAGTTCTTAGCACAAAGCGCCGTCGCCGCTTTGCTCCTCTGCCTCACTCAACGAAATGAGCGTTGTGATCGTGCGAACGAGATTCAGGGGGGGAAGGCGAACGAGAACTTATGGCTAAATAAAACTTTATAAAAATATATCAACGAATAATAAATATATCTCTAACAGCGTCACTGTATAATTCGTCGTGTACGGGCGTACGATAGCCTACGCATTTACAGTCACTATATACATACTATCAAACTCTACTTACTCTAAATAATATACAACAATTTATTTTAGTCGCCCTATCTTTGGGAATATTTGACGTTGCACAATTAAGTTTTTCCCGTCCGTTGGCGTGCCCCATACACTTTCCTGGACGTGCAGAAAATCGTATGTCCCTCGTTAAAAGTTAAACTTTTTAAATTAGCTCTCTAGTTTCTTGCATCACACCATCCTGCCGGCACAAATCTTATTATTTCGTTATTTAATACGGGCAGTATCGCTCGTTGGACTCGCGCGTCGCGAGCTCACTTTGCAATATTAATAGATTACAGTTCGAAGTCGGCATCTATCAGAGTTTATTCGGTCGCGATTTGACGGCTATATCTTGTATCTTTCATTTGCGAGAAATTCGAGTGGCAAAAAAGAAAGAAAAAAAAGAATTGGTCTTCATTTCGTTCTGATCCCTACACGCGGGAACATCGTTCCACAATTCGTAAACACCGGCTTATTTATTTATTACCTATACAAGTATATACACGTCGTATGGCGTATCGCGCGACTGGTGCACGCGCGTGTACGCGAATTCGTAGTTTACAAATTTTCACTCTATATAAATACGTATCCCACCGCCCGCGCGATCTCATCCTTTCCTTTCTCTTCCTCTCCTCTCTCTCTCTCTCTCTCTTTCACTCCTCCGCTATTTTCATATATAAGGCCAGAGAAATCGAATTTTAATCGTATCTCGATCGCACGGGGACTCGTTCGAGCGGACGCAAGCTTGCCTCAGATTCACATAACGACGGCAACGGTCCGTGCGCTTTCGTGCGATCGTACATTCGTAAACGCGTTATCCAGATTCGCGTCCTGGAGCAGAACAAGAGGACCCGCTACGAGATCCGAGGAACACCAAGGCCGTAATAATCCGCGCCGAAGGCGCGTCGACAGAACTCCCATCCAGTGTTTCATTGTATTCGTGCTATGCCGGAGACACGCAAGTGTCGCGTCGCGGCACGTCGGGCAAATTGTGCGTCTCGTTGACGCGAGAATCGCGCGGGGGAAATTCTTTCGGGGAAAGAATTTCGATATTATGTACAGAGAAGCTTCCCTTTTTCTCTCGTCATTGGGGAAGCTGACGTACGAGCTTTCCATATAGCTAGGAATTTTGTCAAAGTTTCTTCCGCCTAAATCTCCATCGGACGATCGCCTCAGCGACGGTATTCCCGCAAGATTGCCTGCAGGATCAGGCAGAGTAGAAGGTACGTAATACTCGCCGATCGGATGTGGGCATGGCTGTAACCGGAAGCGCGTGTCACGTTGAGTAGAACGGAAGCGTCGGCGATCCCTTCTGACGAACGAACCAGTAGCAACCATTCTCCCGTGTGTGACGACTGAATTGTCTCGAAGCGCAGGGTCGTCCTGTAACATGATTCCGTGCCGCCGTCCTGCAAAAGAGTAAAACGAAATATGAATAACTGCTCCTTATCGCAGGAATTTTCCATTTCTAAAGAAGCTAAAGGTTGTGAAGAATTTTAGTTTCAATATTTTCAGTAGTATGTAAAGGAATTAGGAAGACAAGATATTATTCATTTAATATTCATATTTAAAAAACAGTTATTTTGATTATTAAATATAATCTTCTTTCTTTTATTTTTTTAAATTTATTTATATATTAAAAATTAAAATTTTATTTAAAAAGAATATATAAAAATATGTTATAATAGATATATTTAAATATAAATTTAAATAAATTGACGTGTTTTTTCTAATATTGCCATTGAATGCGAGTTTTTGTTACATTTTTCAGTATACTAAGCATATTTTTATGATTATATATACATATATATATATATTTCTCACGATGTTATTTTTCCTAAAGGTTGACTGAAATTCCTGCTTACAGTCATGGGTTGCGAGAAACGAACTCGCTTGAGATTGACCCATATCAAAACCGCTTTGTTCCCTGATAAGATGTCAAGCGAGACGCTATAGAGGGAATTTCGAAAGTTTTTCTTTAACAAGCTGAAGCAGGGTAACGAGCCAAGGTAAAATGGCATCTACAATTCACAGTGACGGTACCAAGCTCGTGCTCGCGAAGATCTTTACGAAGACGTTTTTATGGCGCTTTCATAGCGTTTTAAACCATTGGGATCTGGTTGCCGCAGGTCATGCTCCAGACTAAGACGTTTTTATCGCATAATGCTCATTAACTTGCGATTCGATAACGTCCATCCAGTCGTCTCCTTATCGGGCATAGTCTCTTTCTCTCTGTCTTTACGATTAAACTTTCACGTAAAACTTCCGGCGAGAGCAAACTGGGAACTTCCGGCGTCGTTCTATGTTCTCGCTTCAATTATCCATCTTACCTTCGACTGCTTCTTCTTAGACTCCCCACCTTCTCCATCTTCTTCGTCTTTTATCCCCTTAAAATACGTTTTATTACTTTCCGCATTAGTACCTATAATGACTCCTCTTTCTTCGACTTCGTTTCTTTGTTCATGGAAAAATCAATCGTATTAAGCCGATCATAGGTCTAGGGAACTTTCGGTTTATGAGATAATTGACCTTAATAGGAGAGCAATACTGATGGTTTGTACGAAACAATGAAAAAAATGAGATGAAATTTTCTCTTGATAAATATTTATATTTTATATTTAAGATTTGTGAATGTTTCCTTCATCATTAGACAATCGAATACATTTCAGGTTTTTAAGTTCTCATTTTATATTATGTCATTAAACACATGTAAAAATATTCTAAAATATGACCTTTTTGCGATAAATATTAAATTTTTATTATTTTAATATCTTTCAAAAATATAAAATATACATATATTCTAATAAAATATATTGCCAGGTTAAATTGGAAAAGGAAGTATAAAAAAACAGAAATTAATTGTGAAAATATTTTATTCCAATTTTTCTATTGTCAATTTATCAGCAAAATTCCATTTTAAACTCTTAAATATTAAATGCCTAAAATGCTTTAAATTTACACTGAACATCTTGAATTACTAATGACTTACTGATTTAGTAATGCATATATATTTAGCCGTGGTATAGCTTTAACTGTTGTATTAATATCTTTGATTTGAAATGATTATTCGATAATGAAAAGAAAAAAACATATATGCCAAGACATAAAACATTTATCAACTTTTAAATTACAGGATATCGTAAAATATCGTATACTATTATATTTGATATTTCTTTGCTATTGCAACATTGAAGGGAATATTTGACGATTTGCGACAATTTCGTTTTTCATCTTATTCTAATACACAACCAGAATGCACATAATAGAAGACTTCATCACTGTACCTGCACAAAGCTGATCGAATATAATAATACAGCACGTCATTGTGACCTTTTAATATCGAGGCAACAGCGTCTCTCTCGCATTCACTTTATTGATAACACGACCGTGGAGGAATACGTAATTGAATCGGAGAGTCATATACTATGCGTTGGCGAAACTGATGTCATCTTACGGCAATGTATCTCGTCGCTACGATTCCCAGCAGACGGAGGATTCGTTGCTGCAGGGGGGGTCTTGCGAGTTTTTCGCGTGCAAGAAATCGGTAGTTTTTTGCTCCATTTAACCCTGCGTTTCGACTTCCTCCCGTCCTCCGACCTCCACCTTTTCGGCACGACGGAAGCCCGCACCCCCCATCAGTCGATCCATTCTTTTTGTATTCTTTATTCACAAGCTCTGTCAGCATCATCCCACCTTCCATTTCCGCATCCCTCTTTGCGAATCATCCCGCGTCTCGCTTGCTTCCTCCCTGTCTTCCTCTTCTTGTTGTTTTCATCTCATATCTCTTTGCATCTTTCTGTCTTTTTTACCATACCACCATACACACCTCCATCCTTTTTACCACGCCATCATATTGGTTTTGCTATTGGCTTTGTTGTTACCTTGTTCTTCTCATCCTTATCTTTTTGTTCTCTTTCTTCCTTTAGTTTGTCCAAACTTTCTCCGCTAATACATTCTAAGTTTCTGTAACTTTCATTTTTCTTTTTCCCTCTCAAACTATCTCGTCGTCCGTTTCCCTTACTTTACTCAGTATTCCTTTACTAACGTATTCTACTTTGCCTGTTCGAGCTTTTTCTATCCAGATTTCTTGGCATTTCTCTATCTCCATTAACCTATTCTTTTTGTAAATTTCTACCTCCTATTTCATTCATACTCTTTTTACTTCCAGTTTTTTTAATTTTCTTTCTGCTTTCTTCTTATCTACTAACATATTTAATATTCCTTTACCCCATTACCATTTCTTCTGATTTTTTCTTCTTGCGCCTTTTAAATTTTTTAATGTATTTTAGTAACTTATTTGACTTTCCTCATTTAATTTTTCATTATAATACAATTTCAACTCGTTTGGGCTTAATTTATATGCAAACATATATAATAACATTAAACACAATAAAATAATTGTAAATTGTGCGTTAACTTTTTTCTGTTTGCATTACGTATGTACGTACACATTTTATTTCTCTCGAAAAAATATTACGATGTATGTAATAAAGCAATCCGTTTAAATTTTTTCATATGAACAATTCATCACGTAGTCTTTCGATTAAGCACATCAATAAAGCCATTTAGTAATTAATAAACTGTCTTGTTAGTAAATGTTTTTAATTACGAAAATATAAATGTTTTATTGGTTATTAATTATTGACAATCGACCTCGTTCTGTACCTACAGTTTTTATGTGATTCAGCAATAAAATCACCTTTCAATACAGTACAGACGTTTTTGAGAAGTCTCTATACGATACGTAATAGCTTTCAACAGAGTACCATCGCGAAAAAAAAGATCGATACGTAAGCGGCGTTATGAAAATATTTTGCGTACGAAGTATATTCTCAAAAGCATCTTAATAATATCCGATAATATTATCGTAATATTCGATGATCAGAAAGAAATTGCACCATCCAGAAACTGTAATTACATTTTTTATCATTTCCCAATATATTTACGTTATTTCTTTCTGTAGATCGCTTATAACGATTGATGCTTAGTTTCGTTCACCATTCTTATTTAAAGTATCAACGCTGCGGAGAATAATGCGCATGCGATGGCTATAATCCGTATATAAGATACCTATATTTTACAAATATTATCTACGAACGCGAGAGATACGTCGCTACCTGTAATGTAAACACGACACTACATTGTGCTCGCATCATCGTGATTCCCAATAAAGTCCGCAATTTTCAATGGAATCGACCGAGCCAATCGTTACTCGCACCGCGAAATCGGACTGCTCGTCCTTATCGCGCTCACATAATAACGAAGAGGATCAAACGTTAATAAAAACAAACGCAACACCGGGTGCATCGGCAAATCCTTCGCAAAGCTCCGTCGCATTGTCCGTGTCCGCCCGGCACTCCTGGAAAAATGGTTAATCCGTCCTTTATGATGCGACTACCTCCACGCGCGCACGCGCGCGCGGCGGATTCTGTCTCCGCTCGGGCGGAAAAAGAAGTGCGCCGACTGTGGAAATGAAATAAGCGCGCGTATATGCATACGCACAAACCGGTCCGCATATACATTCCCGTAGTATCTCGTCACCATTTCTATCTGCATCCCTTTCATCCCGCTACCCTCCGCCGTTCTCGCGAGCGAAAGGCGAGAGCGTGGCCGTTCCCAAGCCTTCCTCTCGGTAGCTTTCTCTCTCTGCTCTACCGAGTCGAATCGCAATACCTCGGATATCACGCGAACGTCCATGCCGGGGATAGCGACATAATTTTCGCGTCGAAGGACCAACCACGCCCCTCGGGGAAGCGTGTAATCCCCGAGCGGGTATACGAACGTCATCCCCGTGTTACAAAAGACGACGGATTTTTAGCGAACGCGCGAATTGCGTTTTTGCGTGGTATTTTTACAGCGCACGAGAGCACGAGATTGCCGAAAAAAAAAAAGGAAAATCATCCGCGCAAAACAGAGTAAATCAGATCGTAGCTTTTAATAAAATTCTGCTATTTCATCCAGTTTTACGGAGAAAGACCTGAATCAATAAGCACAAGTAGAAAGCAACGTAGCTTTCATGAACGTATGTAATTATGATGCATGTAATTATACCATGATTGATAGAAATATCAATTAGTTGTTTCAAACATTGTGACAAAGCATCATATCATTTTACGTTACATTTATAAGGAATATTCTCAAATAAATAATTTATTATACCAAACATTACTACAATGTGAATGACAAATATTTACAAACTGTAAATACGTGATCAACGTTCTTCTTGCGCAATTCTATGTATATTATTTATTATTTATTCATAAAGTAAACCTCACAATTTGATATTGGTAATTATTTTTCTTCTGTAAAGTGAAAATACGACCGTTGAAGCATGCTTGGAAAGAATAATAAATTAGTTTACGTGCAAGTACATGAGAAAAATATATTTTACTGAGAGAAATAAACTGATCAGATTATGAAGGTTGAAATTATTTCGCAATAAAAAACTTGTTTTTCTGCAATTTGTAGCAAGAGATAAACTGCAATTTACAATGATGATAAACTTTCAGAACTTAAAGCGTGTTTTTTTCTCAAATATACTTTTTCAATTAATTTTTCATTAAAAAATATATTTAACGTATTAATTATTAACTGCATGTTAATCATTAATCGTGTTAATTATTAAAAGCATAAGTGTGTATAACTATTTATTATTATTACTTAAAATTACTATTACAATATCAGTATAACTGTTGCTAGTGCTACTATTGCTATCATTATATAATTTACTATTACACACAACTGATAAAACTATTTATTTATTACTGTGCTCAAATATTACTTTAGAAATACTATATCTTAAAAATTGACATGCCATATCTTAAATATTTGATGGAATTTTTATGATGGCAGATTCGAATTCAGCGCCCCAAAATAGTTAAATCTGATTAAGTAAAAGAAATCCTATTAGATATGTATAAATTCATTGCAATATTTAAGTAAGTGCTATAAGATCCGCTTTGAAAATAGAATTTTTCCTACTAATTTCTCTCTTGATTAAATTTATTCTCATCAGTGACCAATTTCGAGTTAAAAATCGTTAAAAAAAAATTGTTTCCTTTTCTTGCACTAAGGATTATTCAAAATTTAATTAATTTTACATACTCTGCAATGTTTATAAACTAGTTTAATTAATTTTACCCATATCTGAGAAGGACGCGACAGTGAATTCGAGCGTGAACTGCAAATGATCGAATTGACATAATTTCAGAGACCAAGTGTATTTATGTAATCTGAATTTCACGGACGCTCTCGTGCGAGTTGAGGAACCGTACGAAGGCGCCCAAGCACGCGAACAATGTTTGATACAGCGAGACATGCAAATTTACCTCGATTGCGAGGGCTCGAACCCCGTCACGGGAGGGTGCGTCCGGCGTATACACATGCTTCTCCGATATCCAGAGAACCTTCGTGTAACTCGGCCGAGCACAAAACTCGACGATGATGTCCAGGGATTCGCCCTCGTTCGCCGTCACCGTTTGACTCGGTGGATGAACCATGGGTGGTCCTGCAACGAAAATAAACAAGAAAAACGGTTAACCTTTGTCGAACCGGCATAGCTACCCCTCTTGTTGTATGACCGTAAATCTACTCTCCGTCGGCGTGGTAGTCGCTTTTTGCGTTTGCTAAGAGCTTTGTACCTTATTAACGGCGCGAATTTCCATCTAAATGGCTCGTTAACGCGGGGCGTACTCTGATTTTATTTCATTCGCGGGGGCATGCATCCGATTATTAGGATTGTCTGGCGCGAGTGTCTTTTATAGGGCTTTTTTGGCACATGTATCATTGTCATCGGTGTTTCTGGCGTATTAAAATTCCATGATGGTTAGTCGTGTGACTAGCGTTACCATATCTAAATCATAAAAAAAAGATACACATGTATACATTAAAAAAAAAATTATTCAGGAACGGAGAGAGAGGGAGTATAATTTTTTATGCGTTAAATGTAGGTATTTAATGAAATAAAATTTCTAGAACATTATTTTTATTTATAATTCATAGTAATATAATTTTATAAATACAAATTTTAAGAGTACGGCTGGTAATCCTTATAGTCATAACTGATTATTATGGATCCCGGTATATTGTAAATTGAAGACTATACAGAAACAGGAAGCATAGGTCGATAATCCATAATAATCGATTCTGCTAGCGTCGTTTTTACGAACCCGCGATCTATCTTTATTTTTTTCTTAAATGATTATTGATGGGTATTTTGATGGATGACGCAAAAATACGAAGTTTAAGCAAAGGCAACATAGTATTTAGTGCACGCGAAGACAGAATTTTCCATGAATTAGATCAGCAATTTTTACATAAAGATCGTTACTATGTTTTTGATTGAGCGATACAAAGAGTAAATGTAGGCTAATGGACGGATTAAGATAAACAGCTATTAACGGAAGACAAATGATGTCGTAAGGACAGACACAGGATTTGTCATGTTATTTTTTTATACTTTTTTCGCTCAAAGCAGATCTTTCAGATCTTTGAAAAAGGGAAAAACGCAAAAATGTACGAAAACATAGAAAGCGCTTGAAATAAATAAACTTATAATCGTGTTAAAAGATTTTTTAAAATATTTAATATTTAGAAATTGCAATGTATTATTATTCTTCGATATTATGTTATAAATCGCGATAGATATTTACCGATCTCTTACTGCACAACTGCGTAAATATTATTAAACAAATATTATTAAACAAATCATGTTATTAAAAATAAATCTGCTTCCCTCCTCTTTTGGCACAAGTGTCAACGAAGTGATAGATATTACTGTAACGCGATAAATTTCGAAAAAGTTCTGGAACTGAAATGTACGGTCGGGGTCCGGTGACCCCTGCTGAACCCGTTCCCGGTCGTAAATCTGACCTTCGGTGACACTTCCGGTGCAAGGTACGACCTGAAGGTGGAAGACAGGGATCACCGATTAGGGCTACTGTCATCCCCGACGTCTGCCGCCCTCTTCTGTTTACCGTCATTCATTTGTTTGTAACTTAATAATAATAAATAGTTTGATGGTGACCATATTAATGAGACACGACAAAACAAAAGAAACATAACATTTAAAAAATCGAGATCTTTTGTAAGGATCATGTTCACGAATTACTTCTCAATCTTTTTTATCCGGTATTTTTTAGCCGGTTATAGTTATAAGAATTCTGTATAGTAAACAAGAATACTGTGTTTCGACCTTTTTACAATGTGCATCGTTGAACCGACATGAAAATAGCGTAACGACTTTTCAGTATTGGCATGTATCAGCATACTTTTTTATTTGGGTTTAGGAAATTACAATTGTATATACATACTATGCTTGCTGAACATTAAATTTTAAATTAAATTCTTGACAATAAATTAAAAAAATTTCATAACTAATAAGCAATTAAAAATGTTGAACAATTAAGAATCGATTCCAGGATAACTTTTAAAATTATGTTTCTATTCCATTTTTTTTAAATAATCACAATTATTTTCAAGAATCAAGAATCATCTAACATAATAAATTAGAACAATAGTTTGATGGAATGCGGTTTACAGCACCGCTGATTTGTGCAAATGCTTCAAAACGTCTTCAGGGTCCAACGAGACGTGCAACGCGATCGAAACGCAGAAACTTGGCACATCGTACGACAATGCGAGCAGCCCTTAGCCACGTCGTGCGGAGTGTTCGCGCGCGCAAATTGCAATCATGGGTTTTCGATTTCCCAGCCTCAAGGCGATCGCGATTCCGCAAATTGTCTCGTACTACCGTTCGAATTTCCTCTTGTAGTCGACTACGAGAGGTTTGTCGATATAGAGTTTCAACTACGCGAGTTAGCGTTTGCGGGTCGGAAAATCGGACGAGGCCATGAGAATTGGAACGAGACAAGATTTTCTTCATTTTCTTCGCCTCGACAAAAAAATTTCCGTCTGAATTGGACGAGGCGCTTCGCAACGCAAAGTAAATTATGCAAGAACAAGGTTCAGAGTTTCAGGCGGTATCGTAGATTTTCTTAAGTTTTTCTTTACGACTGGATTAAAACGTACTCCAAGTGATTGAAATAACGAATTAAAAGAGTAGCAAGTCACATAATTTAGTTAATTTATTTTTTGATGCTGCTGCCTCTCTCTCTGAGAATATTATTCTTTTTAATAATCAAGCGATTACGTGTTTATTAATACAAATAAAAATTCTTTATACATGCATACAGAATATCTAAATTGTATGTATTACTGTGCACTATACTATATACGTATAAAAAATAAGTAAAAAAAAATTTCTATTTTCGATCGAAGCGGATCTCGATGCTTAATAATATTCATATGCAAATTTGCAAATACATTCTTCAGTTCTATAAACTGCGCGTCGATTTAGTTTATCAGATTTGAAACGCACAAAGAAAAAAAAAGTTGTCTTCTCAGTCGTGTGTCTGTTACGATTATCTCGTAATTTATTCAAGTACTCAAACCGATTGGTCAACAAACAGTTACTATGACAAATTGCACAGCATCATCAGCTCTTTAGTCCACGCACTTCAGCTAATTGAAGTGCGGATGTCGCTGCTTAACCCCAGTCACGACCTCCCTCTGGGCTCATTTTCCACTCCACGGGAAACCACGTCCATCCCCAACTATTCTATACATTTTTTTTTTTCTTTAGATGGCCTCTCATCTGCACAGATTTCCTGCTTCGTAAAGCAAGCCTTCTGACCTCGACCGAGCCGTCAGTAGAGTGAATAGAAGCAGAGCAGTATAGCCAGCAACCGCGGCATCGTTCATGAATATTCCTACGGCTGAAATTGCTCGAATATCTTGGAGGTAGTTCTTGTCCCTGCAGCGAGGGGCGACTCTTTTTGCCATCCTTCCGTTAGCCCCACTTCATCGTGACGCGTAACAGCGACGTCGAGAAGTTACCAAGCTCATGCATGTGGTGCAGAGCTTTCTTTCAGCACACAGCTTTTTTGAACATTTTTACGCACCTATAACGACATCGTTCCGATCCGTGAATTATTCAAGTGCATGCCACGCATGATCTGCGTACCAGGATTGCACCTGCAGAAATAAACGAAGCTTAAAGCCTCGTAGAAATAAACACGGTTTTTTTTTGAAAAATTTACTTAGGTATAATTTAAAGTTAATAAATAAGTTAATTATTTGAAGTTAGAAATTTTTAATTACAATTCCTAATATTGAGTTTGGTTGAATGTGTTAATTATCAGATACAAATTCTAGTGAAATTATGTACTGAAAGCGTTGATGTAATTTCAATTGCTAATCTTTTTGCATTTCTGTATTTGCATTTGTAGACATTCTGCTTATCAGTTCTCTCTTTGTTCTTACTATCCTTTCATTTCTTTTATTATAATTATTATTTATTGTTCACTATTATTGTTATACTATTATTCATGCTTTCTTTTAAATGTTAAATTTTGTTTTATAGTTTTCCAAGTCAAACATTGTAATATTTGATTTTGAACCTGTTGTTACATATTCTCGATAATACATATTGACATCTTCTATCAACATTTGGTCTTAAAATGCAGTTTTACGAAATAGTAATCGATATGATTCAGAAAATAGAAACAGAATATATAAAATTCGTAAAAGGTTATTATTAAGCATAAAATCTTGCCCCTTAATAAAAAATTTATATATATATATATATATATATATATATATATATATATAACAGATATATATATATATATATATATATATATCTGTACACATATTAATCGATATTCATTTATTAAAGTATTATTTTATAGATGCATGATCATGTCAAGATTAAGTTTATAATAGATATTCTAATAAATAAAATTTCTTCGCAATTGTGAACGGAATCGAGGAGAAACGTCGTAAACAAGTCTGAAGGGGTCGGTATGTACGCCATTTGGTTTCATGGTGCACAACTGGCGACAATGATTATGAGAGTGTTAACGATCGCTAGTCGACGACCGACTTAGAAGAGCACAACGAGAATCCATGAGCTGTGCTCAACTACGTACAGTACGTCTTTCCCGAAAATGGGTCTTCTTTGAGAAAATTTCCTTTCCTGAATTGCACTTGGAACGCACCGCGACGTTTCCGGAAGGAATCTCTTAGCAAGTTAAATGAATCGCGAACGATTGCCTACAACGGCAATGTGATTCATTTCATTGTGCACCGTTAGAAAGAGCTTCGATGGGAACGATCGTCAAAGTAACGAATTTCCTCGTGACGATTCAACATCGTATCGTTCGCTGTGGAACGGAAAGGTTGTACTTTGTCCGCCGCGGAATTTAGATCGATAGCGACACGGATTTGAATCTTCTTGCCGAACATCGTCCGTCGTTTAAAGAAATTACGGATCGATGGCCCGTATTTCCAGTTATCGATGGCTTTCGTGATACTTTTCGAACATTATATGGTGTAGGAAGGAATTTAAAAAGAAGAGGAAGTGTTATAGATAATCTTAGAGATCGTATCACCAATTAAATGATTTTCTTTAAATTGATAATTAAGTTGATTGTGTACAAAATTGCT